AGTTAACCCTGATCTTTTAGGAAGACTTGGGAGAGGTATACGACTCTAACACTGGGGGGGATGAGGGGGAGAGGGCAGCGACAGAGAGGAAGAATACTGCAGTGTCTAAACAGTGAACAAGACTAGAAAGGAACAAAACGCTCTGAAACATTCATGAGAGCGGAACAGCTTTTAAAACACAGGACACAGAGTTATACAGTCCCTGTAGCAAAGCTAAATATACTGGATTAAACAAAATGTACTATTGCACATAGTTCTGTGTTCCTCTGTTCCATAATCTCTGAGTATATTGTTGTGTTTTCTATATCTGGAGCTTTTTAACTCCCCTTATAGTGTTTCCTGCTCACTGAAATGCCGGTCATATTTAGTGTAGTGCCAGATCTGAGTGCCCGTGCGTTAAATCAGTCACTCACCTATCTGCACTGAGCTGGGGAAAGCCCCTGTTGCCAGTCCCCAAAGGGCGGAATACACCCCAAGAAAGTGCCAAGAAAAAAGAATAATCCTCATTGTTTGTTTGTTTTCTCTTTCCTTTTTCCCTTTAGTTCCTTCAGAAACTGTTGAGAGACATGGAGAAAGAGGGGAAGATGCGCAAGAAACAAGAAGGTGTCAGAAGAAGGTAAAAAAATAAAAGATGAGAAAGGGTATTATTTCCCCCAGCCTTTTTTTTAATTTAAAGAGTATTCCTAATCCATGGTGGGTTTGTGTTTCTTCTCCTGCAGTGCCCGCTCAAGAGAGCGCTGTGTGTCCAGTGCTCATGGAAAAAAGACGGAGAGAGAGAGAGCAAGAGAGAGAGAGAGAGAGCAAGACAGAGAGAGAGCAAGAGAGAGAGAGAGAGAGGGGAAGCGTGTGCATGTGTGTGTGAGGGGGGAAACTCGCTGGAATGATTGGCGAGCTGGGAGAACAGGCTGCATTGAAGAACTGGACATGCGCGCCCCGTCTCTTTTCTTTCTCTCCCACACACCCTCCCCTTTCCCCCTCCCCTCCTCTCTCTCTCTAAGTGAAATGCTCGGTTTCTCTCTGTACCCTCCTCCTCCTCCTCCTTTACATTATCTCTTCTTCTAACTGCTGCCTCTTGATATTAGGAGGAAAAGCAAATAAAGAGTTCTTCTCTCCTGCCCCATCGTGTGTGTTTACGTGCACATTCGAGGTTGGGCGCTCTATATCTTGACACCATTGAACTTGACATAAATCTTGTTTTAATCTGGCATGATTCTCTAATATGTGTCCAGAATGGATGTGAGGAAAAACAAAATACAGAATCAAAAGAATTGCCAGAAGAAATGTTGCTCCCTTTAATTTTCAGTATGATCAAACCTTAAAGAAGAGTTACGTTAATGCTCAGTCCTGTGAATGACTCTCAACTACTACCACATCAAGTTTTAGCAAAATATCCTTAAAATGTTCTGAATTATAGCTGAGGTGGCCATCTTGAATATGACTGATGATGATTACTTTTAGAGAATTTCATTGAACTCGGTCTGGCGGTTCATGATATAATTTGCTAATAGTAATTGTTGACTTCAATACCTGAGGGAACGTTTGGAACAAAGAACATGAGTTATTTTTAAAGCACTCAAAGTATGAGTTGGGGACAACTTTCAGCTACTGCCATAGCACATTTAAGTTTAATTTCTGTAAAACGGAGTTACAGTAGTCTCTCGTTTATCACGGGGTATAGGGGCCACCCCCCTCTCCCCGCAATAAGTGAAAAACTGCAAGTTGAACAAAGTACTTACTACTACAAAGCATTAATGCTTTATAAACCCTTCCCACACTCTTGCAATGTTCTAAACAATGTTTCAAAACTCTAAATGCTCTAAAAGAGCACAGCGTGTCATGATCGCTGCTCTCTGACATGCTGCAATCACACTCATCACCTGCTCTCAATCTCCCTCCTTCTGTGTAAATAAACAATTTAAAATTAAATACTGTAACGTTTTAAATGAACAATCCATGCTGCATGGATTGTTTATTTAAAACGTTACAGTATTTAAATTGTAGAGAAGAGAAACACAGCAGGACTCAAAGGGTTAAGGGAGCAGAAATGTACTTCTTCATCCATTACACTGTAACAACTGAACATAGCAGTTCCAAAATAATTAAGAATAAGTTTTAACACTTTTATACTTTGTGATTATGACGATTTTACGATGACATACTTTGAATTTTAAGTTGGAAGGCAAAAGTTGATCGGTGCATCCGGACAGCAAAGAGTTAACCTTCACAAAGCCAATGCAGCATGCAGCAGAAATGTGGGGGTGGCAGAGAATGGAGATCATGATACGTTGCAGGAGGGAGTTTCTTCTTCTGTCGGCTGCACACAGTAAATCATTAAAAATAATTTATTTTAAATAAACAATATATGGATCATCCATCAATCAGCCATTTGTGTGTCATGTCCAATCTTACTTTGAAAAACCGCCAAACAGCGAGTCTGCGAAAGTCGAACCACGAAGTTGCGAGAGACTACTGTGTAGCTATTTTTGAGATTTCTAATATTCGTTGGCAGTGATTTTAAATTGTATGACATCAAAGGTCAATCAGTTGTTGATGTTCACTAAATGAGTACTTTTATTAAAGTTTTACTATTAAATTTGAGCTATTGAACATGTCTGTTGTTGTACTATTAAAGTTCAATAACAGACATGTTTGCATGGCTGTGTCTCATTTAAATATGCAGTACACTGGGTTTTAAATAAATGGCAATAAATGAAATCTAAACTCTGGACATACTTTGTACTTGCTGCATAAAACATGTCCTGGTTCATGTGGAAAGAACAATTTGTCACATTTAAAATGAGCTCAAACGCAACATGAAGTTGTGTTCAGATCAGAGTCCTGACCCTCGAGCCCTGCCGGACTCTGTCCATGGTGCTGAAGTCTCACAGAGCTGCAGGCTCTCTCACCACGTTCGACCGAGTAAAAATAATCTGGGCAATCATTGCTTTGTATCATCTATCCAAAGACCTAGTGCAGGGCTATTCAACTAAACTGCTCAGGGGGCCACAGTTTCTGAAAACCAACAGCTCAGGGGCCGGACATCGAGCGACTAAAATCATTATGCAAATAAACAAAAGTTAACAATGATCTGTTACCTTTTAAATTTGTTTATTTTATTGCAATGAATCATAAATGCAATAAACAGAGCCCAAACTCAGAACCAAAAAAATATAAATATAAATATAAATATGTTTTTATGAAGTGGGCCTGATTGAAGTCACCAGTTGAATAGCCCTGACCTAGGAGTTCTTTCATTTTTTAAATCAAGATCTTCAGAAATAATTTCTAGGTTTTCTGAAGATATTTCAATGCCAACAGTACAAAACTTGACATTTCTCAGTGAGATTATCTTTTTATATGTATAAAAAAGGAGGACAGTGATCAGGTGGCATGAAGACAGCAGGAATATCCATTTTCAGATAATTTGGCAATACATCCAGCCAGCCTCACAACTGCAGACCATGTGTAACCACACCAGTCCCTGTATTCATAGTCCATAGCATACGCCTGCCCATACCATAACTCCACCACCACCATGGGCCACTCCAGCCACAATGCTGATGTCAGCAAACTGCTCACCCACACGACACCATACACGCAGTCTGCCATCTGCCATGTACAGTGAAAACCAAGATTCGTTAATGAAGAGAACACCTCTCCAACGTTCCATACTCCATCTAATGTGAGCACATGCCCACTCAAGTCAATTACATCGATGAACTGCAGTCAGGTGGAGACCCCGATGAAGACGATGAGCACACAGATGAGCTTCCCTGAGATGGTATCTGACAGTTTGCACAGATATTCTTTAGTTATGCACTGAATGATGCAGCAGCTGTCCAGATGGCTGGTCTCAAACAATATAGGAGGTGAAGATTCTGGATGTGGAGGTCCTGAGCTGGTGGGGTTACACCCAGTCTGCGGCTGTGAGGCCAGTTGGATGTACTCCCAAATTCTTTGAAACGCCTTTGGAGACAACTTATAGAAAAGAAATGAACATTCACTTCATGAGCAACAACTCTGGTGGACATTCCTGCTGTCAGCATATCAATTGCACACTCCCTCAAAACTAGCAACATCTGTGTCATTGTGCTGTGTGATAAAACTGCCCATTTTAGAGTGGTCTTTTATTATGGTCAGCCTAAGGCTCACCTGTGCAATGATCATGCTGTCTAATCAGCATCTTGATGTGCCACACCTGTCAGGTGGATGGATTATCTCAGCAAAGAAGACAAGTGCTCACTAACACGGATTTACACAAAATTGTGAACAATATTTGACAGAAAAAGACCTTTTGTGTACAAAGTACATAGAAAATATCTTGGATCTTTGAGTTGAGCTCTTGAAAAATTGGAGCAACAAATGTGTTGCATTTATATTTTTGTTCAGTATAAAAAAATGAAAGAAAACTTTTTAATATTTTACAAGTTTGGCATAATCCATATGATTGTACTCATCTTATCACATAACTGGCATATCTTCTTTTGAACTTGGTGCAGCCAAAGTGAAACAGGAAGTGACATAAAAGAGAAACTCTCTGGTCTTTATTTATTGAAATAAGTTTATTTAAACTCTGTCTCTAATTTGTTACTTTCTAACAGTTATAATAAAATATAGTGAAAATACTTTAAATATTTAGGCGGAGTGGTGGCACAAAGGTTAGAGAAGGTGGGCCATTGTGATCATAAGGTCGCCGGTTCAACTCCATGGACCAACAACATCTAAAGGTGGGTGGTAAGGTGAAGCACCATCAATTGTCTCCACCTTCATTTGTTCCACTCTGGGTCCTTGAGCAAGAACCTTAACCCCCACCATCTGCTCCTCTGGGCAATCTAGATGGCAGCCCCCACCCCCCC